AACCGTAAGTCGGGCCAATCAGCTTCACATCAGCCCCAATTTACTGGACCGCTAATCGCACCCCTTCCCCTGATCGCACGTAATCTTGACGTTTAATCCGCCTAATTACGGCAAAATGCACAAAGGAGGGGGAGGTCAGGGGTCAGTGGTGAGAAAACGCTTGTCGAACAGCTGCCGCGCGTTCATTTGTTTTGCTTGTGTCAGTTAGTATAGACCGTAATCCAAGACGACTAATAGCATGCCACAGTCGCCTCGATCGGTCCTACTCCCCTTTCTGTTGCTGATTATCTCAACAGAAAGGACGACAGCCTTCCTACCGACAGTCTGTGTGCAGAATATCAGCTCCACTGGTGGTAGTGGAGTTTGCTGTCCCGTTAGTGAGACTACAGGAGCAGTGTGTGGAGGTCGCACAAGGGGAGAATGTGCCCCTGTATTTGAAAACCAGGACGCAGATCCGCCACCCGGATGGTCCGCCGACGATCGACTGCATTGGCCATTAACATTTTTTAACCAAACTTGCCGCTGTGAGGGAAATTTCTTTGGCCTAATCTGCGAGGAGTGTTGGTTTGGTTGGGAAGGCCCCGACTGTTTGACTCGACGCGTCTACACGCGACGCAACGTGCTGTCATTCACGCCGCAGGAGCGTAAAAAGCTGATAACTATAATCAGCGCAATGCCCCAGGTGCCGACAGATCGATTTGTCCTCTTGGAGACTGATAACGATCACTCCGATCCCCTAAGAACGCCCACCTTTCTGCCAGTAACTCTGCACGGTCTGATCACTTTCATCCACTTCTACACAAGCCGCAGCATTCTGTTTCATGATTGGCAGCAATGTTTCAAGTTGGAGAGCCTGGATTTTAATCACAACACGAACGGCTTTCTGACCTGGCACCGTTATCTGATGCTCTTCTGGGAACGTGAATTGCGCAAGATTGCGATTCGACTCTATGAATGGCACGACTTCGCACTGCCCTACTGGGACTGGGTTGACGCTGAGGAGTGCGAGGTTTGCACCAACGACCTGGTCGGTGGTGCCGGAGACTGGCTGGAGTTCACTCGGCGTCTCGACCGGAGGAGCGTCTTCTATAATTTCACCGAATACTGTTCACTCCCCACAGGTACGATAACCTGCCAGGGCTGCCATGCGCAATGGCCGAATCGAACGTTCCTCACTCGGTATTTCTTTGCAAACGAATTTCCTACAACAACTGATTTGGAATTTACGTTGAGCCGAAGGAAGTAAGTAAAGGCCTTTTTGATTTTATCTTAGGGTAAAGGCCGGCGTGGCGTTTCGGTTCGGATTCCTGTCTCTATCAAAAAAGGTTCTAGTAGGACATCGAAAGCCGTAGTGAAACAGTTCGTCCTATTTACTGGTACAAGTATCACTAGATGTGCATGCTTAAAACTTGACTCGCGCGGTAGTTCTCAGTTGATCCGCTACATCATTTTGCATGTTTCGTAGCCATCAGTATCCTTTTAGTTATAGATTACATAAATATCAGAATTCGCTTAGAAGAACGTGAAGAACGTTACACCTGAGAAAGGCCTTTAGTGAAAGTGTCCATTGATAGCTACTTGTTGTTTGTTGTTGATTGTCCTACTTCTCCTGTACAGAAAGGTAGGTTTGCCGTTCATCTAACTGTTTCTATCAGACTCACCACAGCTGCTTCCTTCGAGGCGCCCGCAGACTACTTTGAGTGAGGCTCCAGGGCAGATTGCCTCCCCCAATCAACAAAGATTTGGCTCTCCTTTGCAACAAACGTCTATGGAATGACAGTGGTCAGACCAGATTACGCATTTTTCTGCTTCTCAGTCGGCCGGTCCTATGTGAATCTTTGATTAAAACAAAGAGTTCTTTGGGCTATCAGCCAAAAAGGCCAATTAAGGGACTATTGTAATCTATTAGTGTAGGAGTCTTCTCTGACCATCGATCCCTCAGTAATCAAACAAGGTTAAGTTGGTCTGAAAGTATCCGACATACCGGCGTCTTCCAGAAGCATTATCTCGTGATGAGGAATCGCAAAACCTCTTCATCTTATGTTCAAGTAGGTAGCACATTGAGAGGACTGAATCTCCTGGACTCCTTATCAGTGGTGAGGTGTATAAAGCTTCAAGGGAATTTTAGAAGGCAGACAATGAGAACAATGATAGCCTAAGGTTGGCTAAAGATGAAAAAGTCGATACCTTTTCATTTGGTCTAACCCGTACATAACTGAGAAAAGTAAATGGCTTTCTTCGTTAATGCCACAACTCGCTGAATAAAGTAAAACAGTAATGATTATCTTGTCACCCGGATAATCTCGGTGACAGAGTATTCCTTTTACTTATTTTTGAGTTAGCATTCTTCTAAGAGCATGGCTTTTAGCTCCGGCTGCAACCTATTCGTGGTTCCATATGCGAATTATAGCATCCTTACTGGTTATTTTAGTGGTGTCTACCAGATTATTTGAAGACTAGCGTAGGCATTCTTCTCTGAGCCTAAACTCTCTCTTTCTGGAAATCGACTGGGCGTTGAAATTCACGGAGTAGGAACTCAACTGTTTTGGAACGCTTAACACGGAAAGCAAGGTATGGGAGGATTTGTAAACTGATTAGCGCAGAATAAGACTTTAAGCCATTGTGTGGAGATGGCACGCTCATTTTTGACTGAGCATCGCTCCAGCCTTTTGTGTAGATGTCACTGGGGAAAAAAATGTTGCGGCGGGCCGGTGATCACTTTGCATTAATTCTTGAAGCCTGCGTAAATTCAATCCTCTCTTCCTCAAAATTCAACTACAGGTATATCATTTCTTCGATCACTTTTTACGAAGTTACGTTTTTGAATGCTGCTGTTTTAAAAGAGGATAGAAATTTCAATTTTACATAATTTAATAATGTCTGAGTATAATTTGTGTTTTCAGTTACCTTTGAAGCCTCCAAACCACCTACTATGTATTTTATCTGAAGTAAGTTAATGCAATCCGTACACGCCTGCAAACATACTTTGCTGCTCTGAGAATGATGCTTCTATTATTAATCAAGTTAAAAAAATCAAGGCTCGTTGGTGAACGTTCACCGACTGCTAACGGAAATCACTCTGATTTTGCCTTGGGCCTCATTTCACAGGCCCTAATAGCAGCCCTAGCAGCTAGTAGTATAGGCAGATGGTACTGCCGGCAAAGACTAGGGAGAATGGACTGGCCGTTTCTTGTTTATGAGCCGTCGTCAGCCAGTCATACCCAGCCACAAGTGGTGCATCACCCGGGGCTCGACCTCGCAACCTTTGTGCTCAGAGCCTAACGCCCTAACCACTGAGTCACGAGCTCGCTGTCTTGCCAGTTTGAATCGGCAGATATTGACACTCGTTGAGAAGTGTTCACCGAATGCTAAGGCTAGTAGATAGCACCAATAATTAAGCGAGCTAATATAAAGAAAACCCTGCCTAATCTGTCTGCTTACAGGCGTTACTTCTGTGGGCAAACATCTGTAATGATGAAAAAACAAAGTAGGATCAAAAAGAAACGAATGTGGTTCATTCAAACGCAAAATTAGTTTAAGTAGTAGACCCCAGACCATTCTGTCTTACGGAACCGGTGGTAAAAGAAGTTTTGTGGGTGGGGGAAAAAGAATAGATAGTGAAGGAAATTTGTAGAACTAATTGGATAGCGGTAAAGCACATCCGTTTTGCGGTTTTATTCAGTGCGGCATCTACGACGCGGTGCAGTTTTACGCTGGAATACGTTTTACTAACTACTTTATGCATTTCAGCTAATAAACCTACTGGGTTTCGACCTTTCACCAATTTACGTCTGGCTGTTTATTCAAATACCTCTTATTTGTTAAATGCTGTTTTTGCTTATTTTTGATTGACGCGCTCTATTCGGTTGCTATATAGCGGTCGCGGTAAACAAGTTCAACTAAATTTTACCACTTTACGCTTACTTCTAAAAATTTTCGTCACTGCCTTTTCTAGTTCCCCATCCGCAAAACCACTATTACCACCGGTTCTATACGACAGAACGCTGGAGCTACTTAAACTACATTTGCCCTTTTTTTTAAATGTCCATGGACATAAAACTTGTTTCACTCCCATTGAAGACTAAATAAACTTTCTATTTCCTCCCTCAAGTTTCTTCCTCGAAGACCCGGAAGAAAGCATGGTTAAATGCCGATCCTTCCATCAGGCACTCGAAGGCTTTTGTGGCCGTCCAGACGACAACAGCACCCACCTCTTTATGCATAATAAAGTGCATAACATGGTTCGAGGCAGCCACTGTTGTTCGGCCACTTCGACTAACGACCCCCTCTTCATCTTGCACCACACCCAAATTGATCGGATCTTCGAGGTAATTCAGTCGTCAGTTTTGTAAACCTTTTGTGTTGGTCCGCGCACTAGCAGGCTGGAAAGGCCATCCTGACTGACAAATAACTTTGAGCGCCGACAAAGTGGACGTTAACGAGCTCCTAGGGAAGAATTTCATAAGTTTTCTTTCTTATCGATGTGGCGGCGGTACTCGTGCTGCCTCCCAGACTCATCGAGGGAAAGGAGAGCGGTGGGCAATAATGATTAATGCTGCGAAGCTTTTGTATCGAAGGGAGTTACCCAAATGGAGGAGGAAGGAGTGGATAGAAAAAAAAACCGTCTTACAAACTGGAGGCTCGATCATCTGACCGATTCTGACCCATAGAATCTGCCTCTTGTGGCAACATTTGGTACCTGGTTTCGAGTTCTGGCCTGCATTCACATGTAGATTGGATGTTCAGCAGCCTTTTTCGGATCGAGATCCTCAATATCCTTCTCATTGGGAAGCATAAGAAAACGTTAGCAGGCGTGAATCGGACGATTGTCAACCGGCGAAATATCGTAACTCTATTCAGGACGGAGATACCCTTTACAAGGGTCCCGTCTTAATGTGGCTACCATGCCATCCCTCTGACTATCGTGAACTCTGAGCTCTACCCAAACCGCAATGAGACCTCATGTATTCCAAGTTGGTGAGCAGTTTGCACTTGACACGCGTGCACAGATAAATTAGCCTAGTCGGTCACTGCCCGCGTGCCCACCTCCGATCGCTCTAACCTTGTCTTGCCACCAAAATGTGTTGGGCAATGGAAGAGTGTGTGACGTATACGCGTACAACATCTGACTTGCCACACGCGAGTTCGCGTACGAGTCCTCATTGCCCCCTTGAGGACAGTGACCTACCTCATTGCTTGCTAGGCTCAAACTTGTATCCAGTGAGACAACCGGAAATCTTAAATTCGATGCATTTTAGTGGGTTTTTGAACGATGTACACGGGTTGTTAGCCAAATACATTGTACGCAAAAATAACACTCCAACCCGTGTGTATGAAACAAGCATAACGCAGCGCCACTTTAGGGCTATGTTGTACAGACCTAAACCCCCAATATTCAATACTTCGTTAATGTCAATCTAATGCTGCGATGATAACATGTAAACATTGAAAAAGTCAAGTTCAACGAACGCACGTTTTTTTTATTATTCCTCGTCAAGTGATAGAACAGCAAAACTGAAAACGGCCAGTCTACAATATCCATAGGGGAGGAGGTTCAGGCATGAGAGAACGAGAGGTAATTAAGCTTGGGAGCTTGAAACAACTGCGAGCACGAGATTGAGGTGGTTAGTCGTATAGCCATCGCCATATGGGGAAGTGGAATCAGCTTATGTGAAATGGCTACTTATCTGATGCCGGCAATCACCTAGAGCTCTGAGTCAAAATAGAGTCTGTCTCAACTGCAGGACAAAAAAGCGCAAACCGCTGATAGTTGTGTATACATTGTTATTACCATCTCTCCTCTTCTTCGTCGGAAGGGGATTGCAAAGCTATGTTTGATAATTTTGCTGGTAAGGAACAGATAACTAACCACTCTGTGTGCTTCTTCGTGTATGTGCACTTCGGAGGGTTTTCTAATCATCTTTCAAAAATTACTGGATTGTGCCTGCATTATAGGTCAGTCATTGTTTCGTTTATATAGGTCGAGGAAAGACTACGTTTTATGCAGAGTACATGGCAAATAGATCTCTCCAGACTTAGTTTAGCTTCGGCTACTATATTTTAATCTAGCATACATCTTATCTAATAGGCTGCAGTATATTTTAATATTTTAAAATTTTATCGAACGTAATATCATCTGTGTCGTGTGCATCATCTGCGCATGACCAGGACTATGTTAGCATCACCTACGATTAAGAATTCCCGGCGGAATCCGAAACGTCAGGCAAATAAAACTCTTGTTCCAGTGATCCCATCTTTTTCTTCTGTGTCAGGTTAATCGAAAATTGCATTATTCATTCAAATACAATCTTTTAAATTGTGGCCTGTTGGTCATATTGATAAATTCTAGGGAGCATTCCTAGCGATGTCTGTTCACACTTCATGCAAGGATGTTGGTTTAGGAATTGTACATGTTCAGAGTTATATGGTAGCCAGGTCGGTCATCGTTTTTTCAGTCATTTCGAATGATCAACAGCTAGGGCTGCGTACTGCCACTGCACCTGATCTTGGAATACCACTTTATCCCAATCCTCCCGGTTTCGACTCTCTTTGATTGTTAGGAGTCAGCCTTAGAAGGCTAAAGATATTTTGACAAATGACAAATTTCACGAAAAAGGCTCGTACTTCAAGTTACCGTTTCTGTACTATTTCTCAGTCCACGAGGTTATTTGAGTAAGGGTTGCCTGTTCTAACTGCCGTCCAGCAATAAACGACCACTTACGCAACCGCTCAAAACTGCGTTCATACACGTACACGTCACATGTCTCTTATTTTTTGTGCCCTTTTTTTTAGAAACTCACCTCTGTGAATCGCTTTTCTTCATCCTTCCTCTCTCTTTCTCCCCAAGCTCTGGTTCCGTCGCACGCAACCTCGCATCACTGAGTACCCAGCGGATCACGTTGCTCCGGGCAGTTGCAGAGAGTGCCCGCTAATTGGTTGGATTCCTGTAGTTCGACATGTTCAATTCTTTAAAGAGGCAGAAAAGTTGGGAATTCGCTATGACAACTTCAACTTCGGAAAACAGGGCTTTAGAGGAGACCGTTACCTTAAATATGGACCGCGACACGAGGAGAGTTATTATGCTCGAAATTCGCCAAAGTAGCGTTTAACCATCTGCTGTAGTCAACTGAAATGCACTCTTTGTTTTCTATTTTACTCTTCCTTCAATTTGCGTCAGTACGTTTAACCCCGTTAATAATATGAATTATGGGAAATTCTAGATCGTAAATGCCGCTGGGAAAGACATAAGGTGTCCACGAGTCCCAGTCAACCGTCTTAAATTTTAGACCTAATTAGGACCGGTTACCCAAGTTCTTATTAGTTCTGTTTGCTGAGTATAAAGGGACGTATTTAAAGTATTCCTTCTCTCGAATGAATGAAAAAGTTCGCGTTCCAGGTATCTGTATGGATAAGGAAGAAGACGTGTCGAAGAAGTGTCTCTGAAGATGAAATCCTGTAAGATTTCGA